GGGAGATTTCCTGGACACAAGCCACATGGGAATCTCTTTGTCTGTAAGAAGCATGGGCCATGGAAGGTCACATAATGAGCTTGAGTTGTTATAAAGATGGTATGAAGAGCAATATTCTCTTACCTAAAGGGATGATCTAAAAGATGGACAAAGATGTATTTTCAGGAGTATCAACCACAGCGTGAATGCAAGTAATCTTTCTCATTAAAATATATTTTGTTTATTATAAGATTGTTTCTTTTGAGTTAACTATCTGACTGGATTTAAAAGAAGGCACTTTAGATTTGAGTCAGAATAGTACTCCCTTGAAGAATATGAAGGGGTAACTCTTTATCAATAAAAACACTTTTCTTCTCAAGGTGTGACAGTCACCTTGCAATCTAAATTCTCTCCTTGTTAAGCTAGGAACAGAGAGTGATAGACCATTTGGAGCATTTCCATTTGATGAGAAACCCTCTTCACCCCAATAAAAGAATACAATTTGATCAACCATACATTCATCAGTATAGAAGAACCCCAATGCAAAAGTCTGACTCAAGCTAAGAAGCCCCAGGAAAGCAAACACTTAACACAACAGATACAAAGTATCAATTTTAAAACATTCAAGATAAGCTGAAACACCAGGAATGTGGGACCGGATATCACCAATTAAGACTGATAGGATTAGGACAGAAACATAATAATAACAAATAGATAACAAATAAGAACACATCGGATCCTCTCCGGAGGCAAGGATTAACCTTTTCCTGAGCAATATCTGATAAATTAACTCATCAATACACTGTTCAATGAATCAGAAATGACAATTTTAAAACCACGAATCAGAAATGTTTTGAAAACCAAGAAAAAGTATAAAAACTCGTGTTTGGGGACCATTCTTTCTAGCTAGCCAGGGATTCATACTGAATTTTCACTCAACTTCTCTGTGATTAAACCTTCTTTCTGGTAGCTGGCTTCATGTTCTATTTTTTCTTCTCTGCGGTGCTTAGGAAAATCCCGGCTGGAAGAGCCTGAACAGGGGAGTTCCTCCCAACACATTGAATACTAAGCCATCAAGAGGATTTTCTTTCTCTGGCTGTATATAAATAGGTTCACACAGTGTACAAAGCCAATATTTGTTTATTTTCACTGAATAAATTAGCGTGGTTGACTTTCATATCCTACTGAGCCATAAACCCAACAGATTACATTGCTATTTTGTGCAAGGAGAGGATGCATTCCAAATGTGATATTGGAGAATATATATAATTATCTAGCTAATTTAATTGGCTAAAGCAATTTACACATAAATAGAAAATCAGCTGTCCACTTCCTCATTTTTTAAATCTTTAAATAATTTTGCTAGTCAGCATTTTCATAACTGCTTCCGTCTTGTTTTTGATGCTTGTGAAATCAACGTTTGCAACTTTTTCAAATTATTATTTTGCTTCTGGAAAACTTAATTCAAAAAACATTTTGCTTTCTCCCATCATTTCTTTGAGTATACACTTGGAATTGCTAGATAATATCATCAACTTCTGCTAAAGCATTTTTAATTATAGCTCAGTCTGATGGAATTAAGCTGAGTCACCTTATATCTTATTATTTTATTGTATGGTAGAGCATGTTACTCTTGCTGCTACTATTAGCATTTATGTCCAAAATAGATATTCATATAATTCACTGAACCACAATTTGCATAACCATGATTTATCAAATCGTAATTGGCTAAACCATAAATTACAGACCATAAAATGCTAACAAGCAAGGCTTAAAATATTTGTGAAACTGCAATTAATCTCTAAGGCAGTGGTCCCCAACTCCCAGTCCGTAGACCAGTACCGGGCCGTGGCCTGCCAGCAACTGGTCTGCACAAACAAGCAAAGCCCCATCCGTGGGATTCAGGCAGCACACAAAACCATGCACCCTCCGGTCTGCGGAAAAACCTCTCTCCATGCAACTAATCCCTGGTGCCAAAAGATTGGGGACCTCTGCTCTAAGGCACAAGATTTTTTTCATTTTGCAAAAATGAATCAATGCAATTTTTCTCCTTAATATACCATTTACATTCACATTTTCTAAATGCTTCAACCCCTTTCAGACCTATTACTTCAGATACCTTTCTACTAATCTGCTCAACATTATACTAGAAAAAAAACTGGCCTAGGATTGAGAGTTATAGCACACTCTACTAATGTACAGAGGAACATTTACTTCCCTAAAATTCTATTTTGACTAAAGTCACCCAGTGAGTTAATGACTTTACGGTTAATTGTTTTTACTATTATGGGTTCAAAATCACTTGTTTGTTTCCTGCAATTCTAGGTCTTTAATGGCCTTCTACAGCTTTATAGCATAATATAAATCAGTGGTTCTCAACCTGTGGGTCGGGACCCCATTTGGGGTCGAACAACCATTTCACGGGGGTCGCCAAACAATGCAGTCCGCCATTTTTTCCCCTTTTCCTTAGCTGTGCTACTCCCTTTTATTCTATTGGTTTTTGAAAGCCAATAGAATAGACTCTCTTGAATAGAATCTAATTCTATTGGCTTTCAAAAGCCAATAGGAATTGTCCAGGCTGTCTCTGCCCTGCTGAGCCCACCAAAAGTCCCATTCTGCAAACAGTGCTGCACCAGTTGAGTAGTCCTCGACTTACGACCGGTTGAGTAGTCCTCGACTTACGACCGGTTGGGGGGGGTTGCGGCATTAAAAAGGTAGAGAACCATTGATATAGATGCTAGTCAGGAAGTCTCCTTGACCATGGTATGAATGACAAGGAAGAAGTTTCTCAATAGCTCTGTGCTGACAAGTCTCACATCTTGAGAAACCAGTCATTGACCTGCAGGCTGTGTTAGTATGATTCTCCTGGCTGCTCTGAATTCTTGTGGGTAAGGAGGCCAGATTCTTCCCCCCAGCATTACATCATGAGTTTGTGATTAAAAATCATGAGCATTGAAATTTTTGCCTTCTTTTTCAGGCATAATTGTGGTTCAGCCCTTGTTCCATGCTAGCAGCTTAGAGTTAATATTAATTTGAGTATTTACCAGCAATTCCCCAAAGTCAGTTTATTGGTTTGTGTCCTCCAGTCAGGTGATCCTGGATGATGTGATACATGCTAGTTTTGTGACTTTGCTCTCTACTTTTATGTCTTTCTAAGGAATAGTAGCATTACATCTACATTTTTCTCATAAGTGCTATATGTATTAATAGCTCAATAATTCAAACTAGAAATTATGTATGACTTTTTAATTTGTACAATATGATGGAAGTGGGTTCACCAACTGTAGTTTGGAATAGATGCCAATCTAATCTGCTCTTTTGGGAAAAGACTGAGTCAGAGGAAATGGCACATTAAAAATGGTGAGCCACATCATCCAGCCAAGCTCTTTCCAAAGTATTTTCCTTGATTCTATTTATTTATAGATCCTTCCACTGGATCTGTGATATCAATTATGATGTCTAAGTTGACCTGCCATGAACTATATATATAAAAGAGCTGTGGTGGTACAGTGGTTAGAATGCAATATTGCAGGCTAATTTTGTCGATTGCCAGCAGTTTGATCCTGACTGTCTCAAGGTTGACTCAGCCTTCCATCCTTATGAGGTCAGTAAAATGAGGCCCCAGATTGCTGGGGCAATATGCTGACTTTGTAAATTCAGAGACTGCTGTAAAGCATCATGGAGCAATATATAAGTCTAAGTGCTATTGCTATTGCATGCATCATCAAGTAAAGCATGGAGTGCCTCCCAAGATCTTCCCACCCCCCAAACACCCCATGCTCCACTTCCCATTCTTTGGATCCCCGCAGGTCTTTTCCCCATATGTCCATTGCCTCCCCAACTGGGTCTCTGCAGGTCTTTTTGCATTTCTGATATATCAAGTTTGGTTGGTTTTCCAGAGGAAGGGGCAGAGGAACTATGTTCACTGCATACATGCTGCCAAGATAAGGCACACACAATTTTTAAAAATTGATTACATGCCATCAAGTTGTTGTTGACTCCTAGCAACCACATAGATTTTTTTCTATGACAATCTCTAACATGGTCTTTCAGGTCATTCAATAGTGGAGACGTACTTGATGATGGCCAAATGACCTCCAAGCCAATGCACTTGTCTTATTGAAGTAGGATACATACACAAGAACTCTTCCCCCCCTTACAGAGGAAAACCTTAACAAATCTGCCAAACTTTAACACACTTTTATAAAGATTTATATAGTCATACTCAGAAAGATTTTAAGCCAGACCAGTATTTCTCAACCTTGTCAACTTTAAGACGTGTGGACTTTAACTCCCAGAATCTCCCAGCCAGGCTGGTTGGGGAATTCTGGGAAATGAATCAATACATCTTAAAGTTGACAAGGTTGACTGTCTGACCCAGACATTTTTAAGCAATCCTTCCCTTCCTCCACTTTGATAAAGAATGTAGATTCTGTGTTTATGCAAACCATTCAGTCACACCTTAGAGCCTTGGGCAATTGCAGCCCACGTAATTTCTTTCGGGTTCCTGTCTCCCACACAGAGAAAATGAGGTAAATTGAAGTGTACCTTGAGAACACAAAGCCTGGCAATTCATATACTGTACAAGTCTTGCCTGAAGCTTTGTCAGTAATTGCTCTACGAGCTAGCACTTTTTAATTTTTTCTGTCCCGGAGAGCTTTCTGTGCTTTTCATATACGATCCTTCAGATGATTTCGGCAAGTTGATTTAGGAGGCAGTAACAGGTACAGAATCAGCCCGAAACTTATCCTGAACCGGATCTTCATATGTCCCGTTATTCGGAAATCAGCCCTGGATGTCCCTGCCTGACTATTTGCACTGCAGATTTGCATCCTGACTCGTCAGGCTTTGTGCAGTCCACATTTATTTTAGACACTGTAAAACTAACGACTCCCGATTCTCGCCCCGCATTGATACCTGCTCTTCGACTGGCATTTCCCGCCTTCTTCAAGGCAGAAGGAGGAGCCACGCTGTCGAAGCAGACCAATCGCGCGGCTGGTATGCAAAGAACTCAGGATCCGCGAGACTGTGGCAGGAGATCTGAGCCGACTTCTCTGGAGGGAATGCGGCTCCCCCCGAGTCGCTCGTTGTCTCTTTGCAAGGATTGCTCAGATGCTGATTAAAACAGTGAGTAAACAAAAGGCGCTGCGCTTATGTTGGAGCGGTAGACAAAGGACTCCGGATCCCTGAGGGCATCGAGGGATCTGTTTTGAAAGGAGCGGGTTTTGAAACCCTTCAGTCTGTTCCCTGGATCGGAGTGGCTTTGATTGATTGGTCCGTTCGCTTATTCATTGTCAGTAAGTAACAGAATATTCCCCCCCCCTTTTGTTTTAATAATGATAAGATGAATAAGAAGAGTTGTTGGTCCTATCCCTGATAACTCGGAATTAAATTATTATTGTGGTTTATGAACTGTGTGAATAGGTTTGCCACAATTTTGCCAGGGAAAATCGGACTTCTATGATATTTCACTTCAGCACTGAAGCATTAATATGGCAAGGTAATAATAATAAGAACGAATATATTGCTTAATATTTTCTTTGCAATTTGACACTTATGGTTGGATACTCCAAGTGGTCTAGTGATTCTACTGTATAGTGTTCCATTTGCCCCTTCTTAGCAAACTTTATTTGGGAAAAAAAAGACTCTGAACGGGCAAACATTCACAGGTGGAAGCTGTCTCTAAGATGCTCAGAAAGTTCACTGATTTGTTAGGGCAACCACACAATAAAATACCATTTGCAATCCTGATTTCAATTAATGATTAGAAGCATCAGATTCTTTGGGTGCTCTGTGAGAAACTCAACTTGAGTTTGATCTGGTCCCTAAACTCTGCTGAGTCATAACATGTATTTTTGATTTTAGCCACTGCAATCTATTGAAACGGGTTATAAAAAAAAGTGGTTTATTATGGTTCAATGTATGAACCCGGTCCTAAAGCCTATAGTTTTGTTTTGTCATTTGAATCTCCCAGCTGACCTTGGACTCGCTGAGGGTTGGATGGGAAATGACTAACTAGAAATACAGGTAGCCCTCGACTTATGACCCACAATAGGACCATAAAATTTGTTGTTAAACGATGCAGTCATTAAGTGGAGCATCACATCACTGTATACAATTTTACAACTTTTTTTGCCCTAGTGTTACTGACTGCGACTTGTGACCTTTCCTGCTGGCTTTCCCATTGACTTTGTGTGTTGGAAGCCAGCGGGGAGGGTCACAAATGGCGATCCTATGACTGTAGGACACATCATAAACGTGTGACAGTTACTAAGCACCCGAATTATGATCATGTGACTGCTGCGACACTGCAACAGTTGTAAGTGTGAACACCAGTTGTAAGTTATTTTCTTCAACATTGTAACTTTGAATGGTCACTAAATGAATGGTTGTAAACTGAGAACTGCCTGTACTAAACGTGTGTTAAAAATAATTGCTATATGGACAATTCATACAAATGTAGTGGAACAATAGCCCTATAAAGAAACTACCAAGGAGAAAACCTCACCCCCATCTGTACTGACAGGGCAGGTGAGCAAGTTTATATAAACCAGTGGTTCTCAACCCCAACCGGTCGTAAGTTGAGGACTAAACTGGTCGTAAGTCGAGGACTACCCAACCGGTGGTAAGTCGAGGACTTTCCCTGCCCAGGAGCACCGCGCATGCGTGGTGCCGCCCCCTGCGCCGGCTAAGGCGTAGCTGGCAAGTGGCAGAGACGGAGCAGGCCGACCACTGGCTGGGCCACCAGCTGGCCCAGCCCAAGGGAGGTAAGGCATCCACCGGAAAAGGGGAAAAAAAAATGGCAGACAGCCTTGCTTGGTGACTCCCATGAAATGGTCAATTGACCCCAAATGGGATCGCGACCCATAGGTTGAGAACTGCTGATATAAACAGAGAGCAACTCAACTCTGTTCCAGTACTGAAGATGCTACCTAGCCAAGCAACAAAATGTCTGCACAAAAACAACTCAGCTCAGAGAGCACCAAGGACTCCACAGATAAACTCTGAGCTACATATATTCTCTTCCTTGCCAGATCTCTATTGACCTTGGGGTTCTCCATTTGGCATCAAATGCTTCAGAAATACACAAATGGGAGAAATTTGCAATCAGGCAAACCTCTACCCAGGAACAACACTCAATGAGCTAAACACAAAAGGTCAGATCATAAAAGAACAGTGTGGGATAAAAAGCAGTGAATCCATCCTCCCATGCTCTATGGACACTCAAGCCTGACATTCCTCTTTGTGAGGGGTCCTTGGTGCTCTCCAAGCAGTGCTAGACCAGCATTGATGATGTTACTTAGTTTGGGTAATGAAACATCTGCAAGAAAACCACCAAGCTCAGAGAACAGCAAGGACCCTTCATTTGAACCCTGAGCTACAAATATTCTTTATTGATACCTCTTTGTCTAAGTCAGTGGTTCTCAACCTTTCTAATACCGCGACCCCATAATACAGTTCCCCATGTTGTGGTGACCCCCAACCACTTATACATCACTGAGTGCCAGGGGCATGGCCAAAGAAAAGGGGAAAAAAATGGCAGACAGCCTTGTTTGGCGACCCCCGTGAAATGGTCGTTCGACCCCAAATGGGGTCCTGACCCATAAGTTGAGAACCACTGGTCTAAGTGTATTGTTACCAGGGATCCCAATGTGCAACACATTGGCTTGGACACTTCACAGAGGGGAATGAATACTATATCAATTCCTCACTACAGGGCCTCCAGAAAATCAAAAACCTAATAATGAAGGAAAATGAGACTTTGGTTTCATCCAATGTCACAGCACTTTACACCCATAGACCCAGAACTAGCAAAAGAATCCATGGTAGCAGTACTACACATACACCTATCTTACCAAATACACTAAGGTTGAAATACCCAGAAACATGAACTTTATCAACTTCTGCCTTCCTACTTATTTTCGGTTTGATGGACAAATACACCAAGAAATCAGAGGAACACCCATGGGATCACCACTTTCAGGATTCATATCAGAGACTATAATGCAGCAACTAGAAACTACAGCATTCCCACACAAACAATAAAAAAAATGGGTTTGGAATGTAGATGACACCTTTGTCATAATAAAAAAGGTGAAAACACATGAAACTCTCAACAACATCTTCAAAGAGATAAAATTTACAAGGGAAGAAGAAAATAACCATACACTACTCCTTGACATCCCCATTAGCAAAGGGAATGGTGGCAAATTAGAAATAGAAGCCTATCAAACAACCACCTCCATTAACCAAATGCTACTAAAGTAACAACCCCACCTCCCACAAGAGGAGCTTTGACAGAACATTATTCAGATGAGCACAAATACACTGCTGCAAGTCAGAACACCAGAAGGAGAAAACCGACTACCTATGCAACATTCTCTAATAAAATGTATACCCTTGCAACTTTATCAAAAAGTCTCTCACTACCCAACCCACTATAGCACAACCAATATAAGCTATGGAAAAGATAACACTGTCATACATCAGAAACATCTGAGAAACAACCAACATACAATTATAACCACATGGCATCTCTGCAGCACACAAACCAGCTGAAGCCCCCTGAAACATCTTTCAGTAGCCCAAGAACAAAAAACACAAGTCTTCTACGACAACATATAGCATAAGGATTATAACAGCCCATATAAAGGACAAAGAAGCAGAAGTCTAGCAGAGTGCATACTTTAGTGCACCGGTAGTCAGAAAATATGACAAAAACTCCTGAATTTCACAACACATGGACAGATATAACCATGGTTTCAACTAGGAAACTGTGAGTATGCTAGACCAAACTAAATCTAAAAATATTTAGGAATTCCTGAAATCTTGTCCTCAGACAAATCAGTGATCAGTGATCAGAAACAACATTTACATATCATTCAAAAGACACAATAAAAAAGCTAAAAGGGAAACAAAACTGTTGGGATATTCATGAGCAGGAAGAGTCATGTGGTAACTCAGTTAGCTAATGTGAAAAAAGAGCTACTGAAGGTGCAAAAGGTATTGAGTTAGGAGCTGGATTTCCAGTCTCAGGTCTGTCTCTGTATCTCTCTGTAAGAAGTCTTCAATTGAGCTATGTTGCTGTAAAGAAGAATGTATGGTATTGTAAATATTTTGATATATATATATAAAAAGGAGTTATTTTGAATCAGCTAAATGCAGTTAACTGTGAGAGCTTCTGATTTATTTTTTCACCAATAGAGAAATTAAAATTCTCTAACAGGTGATGGGCCCAGAGCTTACTAAGGACTGCATTGTAATTTAAAGCTGGAAGAAATTGCCTGTGTTTAGAAAGTATAAGAACAAGGCAGAATAAGCAGAATGGCTGCAATGGAATTTAAGGAAAGCTCTGTGCCTCGTTTGGGCCAGAAGAATTACATTGTGTGGGCTGCAAAAATGGAATGTTTGCTCAAAGCAAAAGAGCTGTGGTATATTGTTGAAAATCCACCACAAGTATTTGCAGCTGCTGATCAGAAGAGTCATGATCAAGCAATGGTTTATCTCATCTTGAATTTAGATGATGAACAATTTCTAAATGTTGCAAATTTAAAGACTGGAAAGGAGATTTGGTTGAAGTTGAGAGCTGTGCACGTGAATGTTTCTGCATGCAATATAGTGCAATTGTCAAGAAAACTTTACAGGGCCTGTTTGCAGCAGGTGAATCTGTGGAACAGCATTTAAATAAAATGCAAAGTTTATTTTTGGACTTAGAACAACGTGGAATTAAATTCCCTGAGTCCCAAAAGGTTTTATTGGTGTTGAACAGTTTAGATAAAACCTGGGACACAGTTTCTGCCATATTTGAGTGTAAAGAAGAGCAAGAACTAAATTTTGAGGCTTTAAAGGCATGTTTGCTTAATGAACAAGAAAAGCACCATTTTAGAAGCAGCCACAAGGAGGTGAAATTCCTGAGGAGGGGGTCTAGATTGCAAGTCTCCGAAGAAGAAACATTTTGCAGGCAGAGAGCTAAGCAAGAAAAGAATTGCTACATTTGTGGAGAAAAGACACATCTGAAAAGGAACTGTTTGCAAAGGAACAATTTGCAGCAAAGGACATTTGTGCAACCAAAAAGGACTGATTTGCAAAAGGAACATTTTGGTGTTGCAAAAGTTTGCTATAGCAGCAACAGAGACAAGTGGATAATAGATAGTGGGGCAAGTCAAACAATTGTTAATGACTCTGAATTATTTTGCAGGTTTGTTTCAGTAGCACAAGAAGCTCTGGCTTTGGCAAATGGCCAGAAAGCAAAGATCATCGGAAAAGGCAATGTAAAAATTCCATATTTGGAATCAAA